ATACCAGGAGTCCCATATATATTTGCATGTGTGCACTATTGTTAAGTGCTATCCTGTTGATTTCTACTCATGTTGTTGTTGTTGTTAGGTGCCATCGAGTTGGATAGAAACTGAAGAAAATGAAAACAAGTCCACGAGAGCCAAAATATGACCTTCAATTTATCCCACCTGAATTTAGAGATCATCTGAAGAACAGATTTGATACATTTCTACTCATAGTGACCCTGTAAAGGATTTCCAAGGAGCAGCTGGTGGGTTTGAACCACTTACCTTGCTGTTAACAGTCCAGTGTTTATCCTACAGTGCCATACCAAGACCCAGTTATAATATTGAAATGTTGTCAAGTGTTTGGCTACTACAAACATGTATGACTATCTGTGTACAGGGCTTTCAGTGGGACATATTTGTGCTTCTCTGAATACATACCCAGGAGTAAAATGGCTGAATTATTATAATATGGTAGATGTGTACTTAAGTTTTAAAGAAATTGCTTATCCATTTCAGTGTACGACGTCTCCAGTTACTCTATATTCTTGCCAACACTTGATATTGTCAGATTTTTTTCATCATGTAGTCAGTCCAGTTAGTGTGGAGTGATATCTTATTGTAATTTTAATTTCCATTTTTCAGTGATTAATGATGTTTGTCAATGTTATGAACATTGGTTTAATATTACTTTCGCATTCAAATTTTTCTTTACTTTCTAAATTTTTCTACCTACTAACTACTAATTAAGTGTTAAATTCATCTAGGTAAAAGGAGGGATGGTTTATTACTCAGGGATCCTATCTTATTAAATATCTATCTAAAGTGACACTCATCTGTCAGTTTGTTGTACTGTGGTAGTTTTCACATTGCTGAGATGCTGGAAGCTATGCCACTGGGATTTTAAATACCGACAGGGTCACCATGAAGGGCAAGTTTCAACTGAGCTTCCAGACTAAGACAGAATAGGAAGAAGGAGAGACAGACTACTTCTGAATGTTTAGTCACTGAAAACCTTATGAATAGCAACATAACATTGTTGATATACGCCAGAAGATGAGTCCTTCAAGTTGGAATACACTGAAAATATGACTGAGAAAGAGCTGCCTTCTCAAAGTAGAGTTGGCCATAATGACATGAATGGGGCAAAGCATTCAGGACCTTCATTTCTGATGGAGCACAACTCAAATTAAGGAGAAACAGCTGTAAGCATCTATTAATAATTAGAACATGGAATGTACAAAGTATGAATCTAGGAAAAAAGGAAGTTGTCAAAAATGAAATGGAATACATAAAGATCGATATCCTAGGCATTAGTGAGCTGAAATGAGTTGGTATTGACCATACTGAATCCAACAATCATGTGGTTTACTATGTTGGGAATGACAAATTGAAGGGCAATGGCATCTCATTCATCATCAGAACGAACATTTAAAGATCTGTCTTGAAGTACAACACTGTCAATAGAATAATATCCATATAGCTATAGAAAGACCAGTTAATATGACTATTATTCAACTTTACATGCCAACCACTAAAGTCAGTGATAATGAAATTGAAGAATTCCATCAACTTCTGCAGTCTGAAATTGATCAAGCATGCAATCAAGTTGTATTAATGTTTACTAGTGATTGGAATACAAAGGTTGGAAACAAGAGGAAGGATTAGTAGTTGGAAAATATGGCCTTGGTGATGGAACAAAGACATGGAAAGGGAACTACCTGAAAGTCAAGTTGATTCAGAAGTGGATGTGGAACTGTCATTGCTGTCCTCAAATGGATCTTGTCTGAAAGCAGAGAGGACCAGAAAGATGTTTACTTGTGCTTTATTGATTATGCAAAGGCTTTCAACTGTGTGGATCTTGACAAAAAGTAAAGAACAATTGTGAGAATGGTGCAGGATGGGCAGTGTTTTGTTCTGTTGTACATAGGGTCCCTAGGAGTTGGAATCAACCTCGATGGCACCTAACAACAACACCACCATAGAAAAGCCAACAGTCAGAAGAAGACGAAGAAGAAAATAGTTTTGCTATAGGATAAGCACTGGATTGGTAATCGCTAGGTTGGCAGTTCAAACCCATCACTCACTCTCAGAAATCCTATACAGGACTGATATGAGTTGTAACCAATTTGATGGCACATACTAATGTAGTCCTCGTTTGGGATTGTAGGATAAGCACTCGACCAGAGTCGCTATGAGTCAGAACTGACTCAACAGCACTTAATAGCATATAAATGTGTGTGTATGCATGTGTATATATATATTGTTGTTGTTAAGTACTGTGGAGTCGGTTCTAATTCATAGAGACCCTGCACAGGGTTTCCAAGGCTGCAAATTTTTACGGGAACATAAAGCCTCATCTTTCTCCTGGGGAACAGCTGGTAGTTTCGAACTGCCGACCTTGAGGTTAGCAGCCTGATTTGTAACCACTATGCTACGCTACCAGAGCTCCTTGTGTGTGTGTGTGTGTGTGTGTGTGTATTTGTTGTTGTTGTTATGTGCCATGGAGTCGGTTCCGACTCATAGTGACCCTGTACAGGTTTTCCGAGGCTGCAAATCTTTATAGGAGCAGAAAGCCTCATGTTTCTCCCACAGAACAGCTGGTAGTTTTGAACTGTTGACCTTGCGCCTTGCGGTTCGCAGCCCGATTCGTAACCACTATGCTACCAGAGCTCCTATATATGTATATACATATATACACACACACATATATACACACACACATACACATATACACACATATATATGCATATATTTGTACCTATATATGTAGAGAGAGAGAGAGAGTCCTGGTGTGGCACTGTGGGTTAATGTGCTAGACTGCACAGTCAGTTTGAACGGCAAGATAGGTAGTTCAAGCTCACCAGCTACTCCTTGGAAACCCTATATAGGGTCGTTATGAGTTGGAACCAACTCAAAGGCACTTAACAACAACAAGATAGATAGATAGATAGATAGATAGATAGATAGATAGATAGATAGATAGATAGACAGAGATGGTGATTATGTGTCGTGGAGTCAGTTCTAACTCATTGCGACCGTGTACGTGGTTTTTGAGGCTGTAAATCTTTATGGGAGCAGAAATCCTCATCTTTCTCCTGTGGAACGGCTGGCAATTTCAAACTGCTGACCTTAAGGTTCGCAACCCAATTTGTAATCATTACGCTACCAGAGCTAGAGATAGAGCTATGAGCATCTCCTCTAGTAGATACAAAGCTCCACAGGGTCAAGGTTATGTCTGTTTTGTTCATCCAAGTAAACCCAATATCTAGCTCAGTACCTTGCTGTTGTTGTTAAGTGTCGTCAAGTTGGTTCCGACTCTTAGTAACTCTATATAGGGTTTCCAAGCCATCATTGGTGGGTTTGAACCACTGATCCTGTGGTGGTTCAGTGCATTATCTTTCAGTATATAGCTATCCAAAAGTACCAAATATTTAAAAATGCATGTTGTATGAATGAAAGAACTAGCAGGTAAATGAGCAAAGAAACCCTGAATGCAAGTGGGAAGTGGAGAACATAAAGGATGTTATCTGAAAGAGAGAAAACAATTTATTTTGGTATAAGCACAAATTCAGTTTGAGGCAGGACTATATATTGGATGGAGTCCTAGTGTGGTGCTGTGGGCCACAAGTCATTTGGACTGCAATGTCAGTGGTTCAAGCTCACCAGCTTCTCCTTGGAAACCCTATAGAGGGTCGCTATGGGTTGGAACTGACTCGACGGCATTTAATAACAACACCATATGTTGGAAGGATTCTTGGTGTGGCACTGTAGGATAAGCACTGGACTGATTTGGTGATTCAAACCCATGAGTCACTCCTTAAAAGCCCTATGACGGGTCACTATGAGCCAGAACCGACTCAATGGTACTTAACAATGTACTGGAGCAGTGGTAGCCCCTGTTTTTTCTAAGCTTTAGGAAACATATATCAATTTTAAAATATTATCATGCTGCCTAGAGATTTAAGAATCCTAAATTGTCCCATGGTGTTAAAACATACTTAATTTCAGATCCATGATTTGAAAGAGCACTCACAAAAGAACTGTTTTTTTTCTTCATAATAAATTAATGCATATATTAAATCCAGATGATTTTTTTTTCTTTTTTGGCATGATTTCTAAGGTTCCTTCTGAAGCTAAGATGATCTAAACCCATCAACCTTTCTTCACAAACAGATTTTAGATTTTTATAGTTCTTGGTGTACATTTTACCAGGTAATACACCAATTAGTCATTTCGGCATAATCCAAGAAGGGAAATTTTGCTAAGCTTTTAACCACATCAGTCTTAGTCACTTGCTGCTTAAAAGTGGACCTAAAGGAAAACACGAATTGATTTGGAAACAGTGGGGAAAACAACAAACAAAAATACTTACTTAGAGCTTTTGTCAACTAGTGACTTAAGAATTCACCAATAGGAGTTTCAGTGGTTGCCCTTTGTGTTCACTAAATTCTCAATGAATTTGTTGAGATGACACATTGTGTTTCTTGGGAAGCAGGACATACATTAGTTGCTATATTCTAAATACTCTTTATAGCTAAATCTCTCCATGTTCCCTTCTACAGCATAAAAAAGAAGCCAAAAACAGGAAGTGTAAATAGAGAATTTGCTTGTTAATTTAAAATCGTGTGTATGCCGCATAATTACTATCTACTACCAGTTAAAGTGATTTAATACCGTTTTTTTAGGGAACAGGTTATATATTTCTGAGGCTTTATATCACTCTCTTTCCACACAATAACACATGAGAAAATGTGAAATTAACATACATGTAAGTCTACAGGAAACCTCAACGCTGACCTGAGAAATCATTTCAGAATGTATAATACAAATGTTTCCTAGCTCTTGCCTCTTAAAGATTGCATTTTTATATATTGTTTATAAATTCTACTTCAATGATTTTAGTAGCTAACTGAATGATCTACTCTAGCCTATACATTTTGAATTACAAACATATAGTTTTACAGCACTATAAAGAAATTGCAGAACCACTTAATTTTATACTTGACGATCACAGATATGCAATTACTTACCTTACATTCTTCCTGGCAAGTATCTGGTCCAAAGCAAGTGAAAATCCAATGAATAAAAATATAAGTGAAACACTAAACAAGATTTTTCTTCCCATCAAGAAATAAATTAGTTTCTTCAAACCAAGCACATCTGCTAGTTCATAAAAAGAAACAAAGCAAGGCAGTATTTTTCAAGCTATGTGACAGACAGTATATTCAACCAATAAAAGGACAAATTTCTGAAGATGTATTATGTATGGGGAGGGATAAAGGAGGAGCCTGGTCCTGTTTAATGTATAGTATAGAGTAAAACCAATGAATATGTTTGAGCTGTTTGATTATTCACCTCAATAAAAGATGTTGTTGTTGTTGTTGTTGTTGTTAAGTGCCGTTGAGTCAATTCCCACCCATAGCAACCTTGTATAGGGTTTCCGAGGAACACCTGGTGAGCTTGAACCACCGACCTTTCATTTCAAACTGACTTTGCAGTCCAGCGCATTAACCTACAGCGCCACACCAAGACTCCAAAAGATGAATGTTGTTGTTATGTGCCTTGGAGTCGGTTCCGACTTATAGTGGTCCTGCACAGGGTTTCTGAGGCTGTAAATCTTTACAGGAGCAAAAGTCCTCATCTTTCTACCGCGGGACAGCTGGTAGTTTCGAACTGCTGACCTTGCAGTTCACAGCCCGATTCGTAACCACTACACTACCAGAGCTCCTAAAAGATGAATAGAGAGTAGATTTTTAGAGAAAAATATCTGCCAGTTAAACTCTCTTCAGAGAATTATAGTATTTTAGTACAGTCACATAACTCAATAAGAACCGCATACTACTAAAAAGAAAAGCCAGGATAGGAGCGAGTCCTTTGAACTCAGGGACCCAAGGGAAGACTGATGACAAGGAACTTCCCCCATGCTGATGCGAGAGAGGAGATCTTCCCATAGTTGGCACTAAGACTTTTGAATTCAAGCCTCCTATACTGTAAGTGAATAAACTCCTGTTAAAGCCACAAACAAACAAACAAAAACTTACACTACTTTTCAGCAATTTATTAGATTTCCTTCTAAAATCTATAAAGTACCCTATATATTATGCCTTTTAGGTGAGTGTAATGGTTAGGGCTCTGTGTCAACTCAACTAGGCCAGGATTTCCAGGATGAGCTTATATCCACAGTGATGAGACCTAATACAGGCATAGTTAGGTCTATGATGAGCAGCTATGAGCAGCCAGTCAATTGAAGGGAAGCTTCCTTGGGTGTGTGGCCTGCTCCCAATATAATGGACACATGGAAGGGACTCTCTCTCTTTCTTCCACTGGGGACTTGAGACTCTGCAATATTTTTTATATTGTTTATCTTGATAATAAATAATATCTATCTATCTATCTATATCTATATATATCTATATATCTATATATATATATATATACACACACACACACACACACATGTTTCACTCTTTTTGCTTCTCTAGAAGACCTGACCTAAGACAGTGAGTAAACATCTCTGCAACTCACACTGAACTGTATATATACGTGTGTCCTAGTTCACAGCTTACTGTTGAATTCATAACTATATGCTGAGAGATAGTCTAATGTTATGGATAAGAGGATAAAGGTTTTGGGGTCAGACAGTAGTGAAGTGAATTCCCGGCTCAAGCACTCGCTCTGTTGCTGGGTACTCTCCTATAGATTCGGACTCATAGTAACTCCATGTAAGGAGCAGAACCACCCCACAGGGTTCTCATGGCGGTCTGTCTCCTGATGACATTGGTAGGTACAAACCTTCAACCTTTCTAGGTTGGCAACCTAGTGTAACTGCTGCATGACCATACATAGGGACTTCAGAATGTTAGTGCTTCACCTTTCGATTCTATTTTTCCACAAACTTTGTGAAATAGCCCTGTATATTTAGTTTTTCATCTGCAGACTCGGGACAAAAGTACCTAACTCAAAGTTGTTTCAAGAATTAAATGAGATTACAGATTTCAATACTTACCTATATAATGAATACATATTGTTGTTCCTTTCCTGCCCACCTCCACTCCCACCCTCTAACACCAAACAGCATGTATAAAACAAAACAAACAAAAACAACAAAATCCCTAAAAGTTATTTTGCATGAAAGAAAACAAAGATAATCCTCCAAATAAAATTGTCAAAATCTTTGACATTTAGGAGCTTCAATCCTGTTAGTGGTTATTATGGATTAAATTGTATTCCCCCAGAATGTATCAATGTTGTCATGACATGATTCTAAGTATTATATATAATTATCCCCCATTTTGTGATCTGATATAGTTATCCTGCTGTTGTTGATCAGTGCCATTGAGTCAATTCCGATCCATAATGACCTTGTATAGGGTTTCCAAGAAGCAGCTGGTGAGCTAGAACCACCAAACTTGTGGTTCAAACCGACTTTGCAGTATAGTGCATTAGCCCACAGTGCCTAACATCTATGATGTTAAAGGAACTTTTGGTGTGGCACTGTAGGGTCAGCACTGGACGCGAACCATGAGGTTGGCAATTCGAATCCACTAGTTACTCCTTGGAAATCCTCTACAGGATCACTATGAGTTAAAACCAACTTGGACTTGACTGCACTTAACAACAACAATGATGTTAATCAGGCAGGATTAGTGGCAGTTATGTTAGAGACAGGACACAGTCTATAGGATTCATTTGCATTTTGAGTAGATCTCTTTTGAGATATGAAAGAGATTACAGGATCAAGCAGAGATCAGAGGGACCATTCACCAAGAAAAAAATCCAGGAGTGAAACATATCCTTTAGATTCAGGGTCTCTGCATGAGAACCTCCTAGACCCAGGGGAAGACTGATGACAAGGACCTTCCCCCATAAGCAACAGAGAGAGAAAAGTCTCCCCCTGGAGTTGGCACCCTGAATTTAGACTTCTAGCATCCTAAACTTAGTGACAATACATTTTTGTTTGTTATAGCCATCTTCTTGTGGTATTTCTGTTATAGCAGTAATAGATAACTAACACAGTGTCAAAGTACTTGTGGCTGAAAGGACTATTAGTAAGAGAAATTTTAGAGAGATGATATATTAAAGAAAGGTATGGGATTTGACTCAGAGAAGGCATTTGCCTTCCTTACTATCTACCTTGCACACACACTATCTTCTCCTCATATGGCTCTAAGGACCTCTACAGAAAATGAGGAGATCAAAGAACAATGGCTGGCCTCAGAGGGAGGGTGTAGAAGGAAATGTGGAAAGAAGGAAAAAAGTTGCTACTCAAAATTATAAAATAAAAAACAGTCACTGGCCATAAATGCAGCCTTTCTGTATTCTATCCTATAACCACTTCCCAATATATTTCCTTTTTTTCTCTGTTCTTGCATTTCACCTAATTCTCACCCATTATTATCCTTTTCCTCATCCTTGTCTCAACTGTGTGGAATTTAATGTAATAAGAAAGGTCTGCTCTAGCAGAGTTTAATCCTAGAGAGTGTTGTCAGACCAAATATAGGATACCCAGTCAAATTTGAATCTCATATAAACAAGAAATCATTTTAATACAATGATGTCCCATGCAATGTAGGAAGCTTATACCAAACAACTTCCCAGCATTTAATCTAAACTCAATTTCACATCCGCTAGTATTATTTGCTAAATCTGTCGATCCTAATCTTAGGCAATCTCTACTAATAGCCTATTAATTTGCTTACGAATCACATCAAATCCTCTTAAAATCCAAGTTCAGATTCAATCAATCTGGTGCAGGGCCTATTCTGCTGCATTTCTAACAAGCTTTCACCTGAAGCTAATGCTGCTGATGTGAAGACTGACCTGTGAGCATCAAAGTTCTAGAACAGTGTTGTCTGATACAAATATTATGAGAACCAGTTTGTCATTTTTAATGCAGAAAGCATCAAAAGAAGATGGAAGGAATACACAGAGTCACTGTATCAAGAAGAAATTAATGGTCAATGTTCAACCATTTCAAAAGATATTGTTGTTGTTGTATAGTGCCGTCGAGTAGGTTCCAACCCATAGCGACTGAGGAGCAGCTGGTGAGTTTGAACTGCCGACCTTGCAGTTCAAACGGCTTTGCAGTCTGGCGCATTAACCCACCGTGCCACACCAGGATTCAAAAGATAATATACATATATATATATATATATATATATATATGAGAGAGAGAGCATATAATCAAGAGCCAATGGTACAGAAAGAAGTCCAAGATGGTTTAAGTCACTGGCAAAGAACAAAGCTCCAGGAATTGATGAAATACAAACTGATATCTTTCAAGAAACTGATGCAACACTGGAGGCATTCACTCAACTATGCCAAGATATTTGGAAGGTAACTACTTGGCCAACTGATTAGATGAGAACCCTATTTCTTCCCATTTCAAAGAAAGGTGACCAAACGGAATGCAGAAAGCATCAGACAATATCATTTTATGCTAAAAAATAATTCAAAAAGGACTGCAACAGTACAATGATAGGGAACTGCTAGAGGTTCAAGCCAGATTGAGAAGAGGATGTGGAACGAAACGAGGAATATCATTGCTGACATCAGATAGATCTTGGCTGAAAGTAGATAATAACAGCAATATGTTCACCTGTGCTTTATTAACTACACAAGGGCATTCAACTGTGTGGATCATGACAAGCTATGTACAACATTGCTGAGAATGGGTATTCTGGAATACTTAATTGTGCTCATGAGGAACCTGTACATAGACCAAGAGGCAATCATTTAAACAGAAAAAAGGGACACCGAATAGTTTAAAATTAGGAAAGGTGTGGGCCATATAAATTCACCAATTTATTCAATCTGTATCCTGAGCAAATAATCTGAGACACTGGATTATATGAAGAAAAATATGCCATCAGGACTGAAGAAAGATTCATTGACAATTGCAATATGCAGATGATACAATGCTGAAAGTGAAGAGGACTGAAAATAATTACTGATTAAGGTCAAAGAGCTCAGTCTTCAGTATGGATTGCACCTCGATATGAAGAAACAAAAATCTTCACCACTGGAACAATAAATAACATTATGATAAATGTAGAAAAGATTAAAGTTGTCAAAGACTGCATTTTGCTTGGATCCACTATCAACACTCACAGAAGCAGAAGTCAA